CGAGAAGAAAACGATGAGTTAATGTTTTATTGATTGAATCTGGCGTATATTACAAAACGTCAAGCATCAGCAATAAAATAACTACCGATAGAAAAGTATCTGCAGCTCGGCACGTTTAACCCAAGAACGAGTAAAACAAAGCCTAGCTCCGTTTTTGTTTCTGAAGAGAAAAAAGCAAATGAATAATTTATAACCAATGACAGGGGTACACGTCGAACAGATTATGTCATGAGTCAGGAAGGAATAATATAAATATCTTTGCATTACTGACATTGTATGTGTTGGTAAGATGGAAAAAACATTGAAAGAAACGTTTTGAAGAAGAAGCATATCAAATAGTCTATAGTATTGATAAAAGGAATTATTACATAAAGAATGACTTCCTAGTATTTGTGCAATGACATCATCAGTCTTACATCTATTTGACCTAATCTTTTTTTGTCTATAGATTTATCTTTTAGTTCTCAATTAAACTACTTGTTTCATTTTTTCCATATGGCATTATGTTTATGTTGCAATTTATTGTTGCACTCGGAAGTGCTTACATAGAAATATGAAAAAAACATGTAGAAGTTCAAATCTATCTATACGATGGCAGACTATCATATGACACTTTCAACAATAGAAGGAAGAAAAAAAAGAAAAAAATATTACGAGAAAAATGAGAGGAAGATTAGAAAAGAAAGGCACATAAAAATGCATATCTAGGCATTTAGTCAACAAAAATCAATACACTTAAACAGCAGAGGATCATGTGGATGTGAGCTTGGTTGAAGGTGTCTGTGTGAGTACGGATGCAAGCGAAGACCAAACACGACCGCACACTTGCCCCTACAACCATTCGCACTCACACTCAATCTTTATTGATAAATAGGATCCTGCTACCGACCCAATTTAAGATGTTTATGATAATCTCAATTACATCATATATATAATACAAAATATTATTTGATATCGAAGAAAAAAAATTATTTGTAGGCAATCTTACTCTTGAGACAAACTATAATTTATAGAAATATCAATTAAATACAATTACGAATTTTAGGTATCGCAACATGTGATGATGAAAATAAAAGCTTTCAATGATTATTGTTCTATCACGTTGATGATTCGGCATGTAAAGATATTCAATAGATCAATTTTATATCTTCTTTTTTACATTCAAAATCTCGCCTTGTATTTGTTCCGGTAGAAGATGAGATTATTGTAGTACCTAGAATTAGGAATTCATTGAGTAATAATCCTTTTGGATAGCTTGAGCTGAGAGTTAGATAAATCATTTACATATATTGGTAAAAAAACAAGTTTTGCATTATTGTGAACGTATTTTTATGACGTATTATTCTGTAATCATGAGTGTATCTTTTTTGTGCAACAAAATTTCTACTGACTTCTTTACAGTCCTAATATATTTTATTTCTAACATCCATTAATATGACTGATTGATCAGGAGCCATTGAGTCATTCTGTTTAACTCACTTGTGGATAAGGTCCAACAGATGCGAGCTTATTGCAGCTAAGTAAGAAAAAGCAACAATGCATGCACCTGAGAATCGTGATAATAATCGCGGTTATCATTGCGAAAAGGCAACAGGCACAAAAGAAACGACAAATAGAGTTAGAGATAGGCCAAAAGATGGATGAAATATTCTTAGAACCCTGCTCAAAGGTCAAATCCAGAGCGGTGAATCGTATTTCTCATCCATGACATAGAAAAACATGATCTACCATTACATATCGTATTTTCCGTTCCGTATACGATTAAATTGTATTCTAGATTGAGAATTGAGATGATGGCCATTAAATCAACTTCTATAAATGTAGAAGTTGACAAGACTGATATTGGAAATGCTAATGAGTCACATGCACGTCATCGATGATGAATTGATTTATCGCCAAGAGTTAGTCAATTTTCGATTGATGAAACGAGCATTAAAATTACCAAACAACATAGATCATATGGATTCTTCTTTGATAATCGACAACTTTCTCTACCAAGGCACAGCGAGACATGCAGAAAATAAAAATCTACTGACTAATCTCAACATTCGACACATAATCAATGTGAACGATTGCCTATTGGAATAAGATACTCACAATCATATTAATATACTGTGGATTAATGTGAACGATGGGTTAGATGTTGACATTGCTCAATATTTTGAAAGAACAAATGAATTCTTGAATTCCTGCAAGGCAAAGGGAGACAAAGTACTAATTAGTGCAATGTCAGGCGGGCGTTTCTCGTTCTTCTACGATTGTTCTCGCTTATTTATTGGAGTAATATTTTTATTTGTTGAAAACGATTTTCATTCTTTTTACCTAGGTACCATCATGACTCGTTGGCCAAAGTGTATGAATATTTGATGGAATGGCGGCGTTGTGTTGCTTCCAACTACTGTTTTTTCTTGCAGTTGATTCGGTATGAGCGCAAACTGTGTGAGAAAAATGAAGTCAACGAACAAAAAACTATTGATAATAAACGAAGTTTGATTGAGACACTTGACGTAAACGAGCTTCCAACAGTTTATTTTGATTGATAATACAAAAGCCAGAAACTTAAACGATAGCAACATGAAACATCAATTCAAATCTGCTGTACATAGATGAAGCACTGTTCTGATTTCTTTGTGTTTCATTTGTTTATGTGACAAACAAGATATTAGTGAAATAAATTCGAACCACTCATAATGATCAAATAAAGAAAGATAAAGTCTTGAAAATTTATGTGAAAAAAATTGTTAGATAAAGCTTATCATCGTTCTAAAAATCGCTAGAAGGTCACGAAAGCTGTAGAATGTGCATCTCAAAGCTACATTCTGGCACGTTGGCCATTCGTGAGTGTCAAGTGTTACACTACGGAGAAATTTGAAAGAATCTTATTATTGTTAACCAACCTGATTTTCTCAGGTGTTAGATAAATTTATCTGTAAAACTAATAGCTATACATCGTAACGAGCGAAATGAGCTGGATTCAACCAATGATCTTGTCTTCATAGCATATAATAATATTATGGATCGACAGCAAAAAGAATAATTCATCGATGTCTCTTTCTCTAGTTTACCGTTCGATAATTACGATATTTGAACAGTTGAACAGATAAATACGAAATGCATCTGTAGACTAGTAAGTAATGATGTCTTGATTGATGGAAACCTTTTTAATGCTGTAATTCACTTGTTTTTTTCTCGTGAAATGCTGTAGGATGACAATTTCGTGTATAAGTAACCATGAAAAAGAGACTCACATACCATACACACCATTTCTATCTATGTTTATGAATCATTCCTATTCTACGAATGTATATCTTTTATAAGACATAGCTGAAATCAAGAACATGTTAGAAAAAAGGTTTGGGTGTGAATATAGAGGATAGTCACAGTCACACCCATGAACAACGTCTACTTTTACTTTTAATATCAAAATAATTAACATACACTTTCGAAATTTTTCCGGTGTTTTAGTCACTATAGTTTTCGGATTCTTCACTTGTTTGTTCACTGCAATGTTCAAGACAAACAAAACTCTTTGTATTTGCACAACTCAACACACATTTGTTTGAGATTGATCTTGTACCATGGTATGCCAATAATGTGATCTTCATTTGATTTGCAACCACATTTACGTACTATTTTGTAGTATTTTCGCTTCTTTATACTTTCTAGTCTTACAAATTGAAGTTTTGTCTCACGACAACACATATCACAATAATATAAGTTGAAGTGTTTGAATTCAAGAACAGCAAGTTTCAAATGGTCATGAGCAACATGTTCGATGAGATCATTTCGAAAATTGCCAGAATCAAGATCGAAGCAACAAGTTGGACCTTTGTTAGTTGATACTTTCACAGTTTTTCCATCAAGTCCCTTACGTTGCATACTTGGCAAGCGATTATTGATTAAGTCAAAATATTGGTCGATGTAATTCGGATCGTTTTGATTGAGATTTCTAATTCGCATTGCGTTCAAGACATTTGAATAACCATTCCACTCCAGTTCTCGCGCGATTGTAAGACGACGAGTATCTCTACACCATCGTTTATTTTTATATTGAAGGATGAGCATAGGAGGTAGAGATTTCGGATCGAGAAAGTCATTTACAAGAGCACTATAGGTTTCGGCCACACTCATTTTGCAATTTGAAAAGTTAGGATAAACGTACTTTTGTGTGTAGCGAACATTTGCGAACGTGGTCGAATTCGTCGACATCATAAATGCACACCTGCTTTTCTTTTTCATTCTGCAGTAAGTTTCAATTAGTATGCAACCGTAAGCAAAAAAAACGTGCACGTTTTGTTTTTCTGCTTACGGCACACAAACGTTGGTTTGAAGATGTCTTGACAACGAATCGCACACAACACTATGTATGATTTCAATTAAAGTACTCATTAATAACGAAAGTATAGTGGAGAAAAGAGTGTGAGTGGATGTGGATGTGGATGTGATTGTAGCTGTGGATATGAAACTAATGCCAATATCCACATCCACTCTCCACAACCGCACCCACCCAGACCTAGAACACTGTTCAGACAACAGACTTTCATTCGTTATTTTGCCCTCGCTTTAATAATCAAAATTACCGAAAGCTTCAATTAGCAGAAGCATATACATCTATCTTATATTTCTTTTATTTCATTTGTTTGCATGAAATTTACAAATTTATAACTGACGGGAAAAAGTTCAACTGATCACTTGTTGGCTCGATCCATGGTTCAATAATTTGAAGGCTTGCAACTTTTGAACAATTTTCTCTTGCTTGTTGATTGTTATCAGCAATTACGGCTAATAATGAATCATTATAAATGATGAGTTTCACTAAACAAGGAAGACAACTTCGACAAAGAAGTTGCTTAGCATAATCCACATATATATTATGTAATATTAGTGCAGCTAAATGAGTAAATTCAATTAAATTTGTGTTCATATTCCCCTTCTCCTCTTGTTCAAATTGATTGAATACTTCAAGTGTCGTAAGACGAGGTAGAGATCGAGTCACACACTCAAAAAAAAAAAATAGTTTCGAAGGGTTTACCATCATCAAAGAGTAATAATGTAGTGACATTCGAGAAAGTATTCTTAACATCGAAAAGTGGAAATCGATTTGAGATGAAGTCAAGACGAGTACCAATAAAAGGAAGTGAATAGATTTGACACTGACCATAACCATTTTTGAAATAATCAAGTACACAATCAACAGACTGTTGTTCTTTGTTAAAACTTTGACGAATTGTATCAACTTCTATATGTGGAGCATGTCGTAATATTGAACGAATATGAAATTTAAATTGTTGCAAACGAGACATATATGAAACAATCTCTCGTTATAAACCAAATCCATCAATAAAATGATTCGATCCACGTTCGCCTACACCGGTGGCCAATAATAATGTCAAATGTTCGACAGTTGACAAACGTCGAAAAAGAGAAAATGATTGTTCATAGTGAAAAACATTGCAATAGACTGTTATTGCCAATCGTTTCAAATTGGGACAGGATATCTAAATGAAATCAATTATAATTGAAATTTTTGCAGTAGAGAATTCATATACCGATTTCACTTGTGACATAGTTAGATTGTCGCGTACAAAAGCGGTTCCAATGCTGACAGGCAATGAATGCAGTTGAGGGCCAAGCTGATGAAGTAAACGAACACAATCTTGCACATGAAACAATGAGAGTCAAATGTGAGTAAGATAACATGATTGAGAAAAGAATAATCCTTCTTCATTTCATGGAACATGAAAAAATCATTGAGCTTCAAACTCGAACGAGACAACAGATCGCATAAGTGGTGAACAACAAAAGAATGTTAAGAGTGCATCGGTGATTGTATCAGTGGGATGGAAATATTGCGGAACAATTGAGAACAGAGGTATATTGCGTGCTGGACTGTCACAATAATAACCTACATATATAAAAAATCAACGTATACCATTCCTATCAAATCATGCACGCATTATAATCAAAGTTTTAAATAAACTTGAGTTTCAATCAAAACGAAGGTTATCCTAGAGATGTGGTGTCTCAGTTTATTAGTCACCGACATCATTGGTACATTGACATTGTACATCCTTAGCTTATCCATGTATTGAATTATGAAAACTAGATGTCTATCTTAAAACTCAATTGTTCATTGGTTTCAAAAAAAAATATTTGAATAGGACTTCATCATATATCTGTTTTAATTACTTCAGTCAAGATTGATATCCTTAAAAAATTTCAAGCAACTGAAACCGAGATAAAAACCTACTAAGTTTTGTAATTTGTTTCAAACAGAAAAACAAAGTATAACTCTATATTGCATTCATTTCGATCACGATGAAGTTCTCGAAATTCTTCATGCAAAAATTTCCACTATTGCCTACGGACAATATGCATTATAACCGTATTTAAGTAGAAAAAATTTTAAGTAATAGTTTACTTATTGTGACAGGTTTGCCTGTATTTTGATGGCAACGGCCGTTCACTATCCTAAAATATGTCAAATGGAATGGAATTTTATCATCATATATTTTGAATGCAGTATTCATATGAAACAAATGTTGCAAATGAATTGTAAGAGATTGAATATGACTGGATATACGAAGCAAAACATCTACGTAAAATCGTTGAATAAGTAATTTATGTGTTGAATCAATATAACCAACAGTTAAATAGATTGAATGACATTTGTCTAATGCTAGTTGTTCTAAACGATTATTTCCAATATCAATAATAGAACAAACCAATAAGACTTGAGGTTTGACTTTATTCACAATAGACAAGATCATTTCATTAAGTAAATCAAATTGTTCGATCATATTATGATATGATGACAGATCTATGCACTTGTATTTGATAAAGAGTTTATTGTTTCTTTAACACGTCTATCTAAATGGTGGATAGATGTATCCATATATATGCATACTTGAATAAGTATTTTTTGACAGGCATGGTCTAAGAGGATCACCAATCAAAAAAATGTATAAACAATGAATATAAGAACTTTTTTATAATCTAATATAAAGACTCTGATAAATGTCTCTGTAGGCCAGAGCCAAGATCAAAGCCAGAACTACAAAAAACTTGATCTCGCACATGTCTAGTCTTAATGTTGAAAATGTCTAATTTTTGAGAATATTGTTCCATGGTCCTAGAAAATTTCATAGTATAGTTACTAGCATCTATCCTTCTTTGTGTATTCATTTATGTTTTGTCAGATTGTTGATGTTATCAAACTCCGTTGAGGTACAGTTTAATGAATATTATCATTAATTCAGCATGATGAGGTAGTTTCGAAATTTATCCATTATTAATCGATGGAATACTAACATATTTGATAAAGAACAACTTTTGAGAGTTATTTTTTTCAGAAAATCGTCGAATCTACTAGGTGAAAGGTCTCACTTGGGTTCTAGTTTTGAAAACAAACTCTGCAGAAATTTACGAAAAGAAACATCAGTTTCTCTACTACGTTCACTCTTTTTGGCTGTCTTTGGCTCCTGAAGTCGATAAAAAACGATCAAGATGACATTTGTACCACAGATAGAGTACCAATAATAATTAGATATGTGTTGTTGGATTTTGGGATTCAAAGATTGTCTTGAAACATCAAAAAACCATATCTTAGTAATGGAACTAATAAACATTGTACATTTTTTCTCGTCTTTCTCAAATTCAGTTTTTTTTCTTTTAAAAAAATATTTCTAGCATTTTGATTGCTTCTTAAAAAAGGTTTCGGCTCTGTCAAAAAAGCATCTTGGAGGAACGGGGCAGCTTTTTTTTGTCATTGTGATTCTAATATCTCATAGAAGATAGCATTCAATACCATTAAACAGTTTCGAGTTAATGCAATAGATAAAATTATAGAATCACGCGCTATATAAAAATATAAATTATAATTGTCTTTTTTCATGTTTTATGTTATCGAATATAAATATTTCAATTTTAAAAATATGTATTTTAATTCTAAGCTGGTATTCAATAAGTTCATTAGCAAATATAATTGGTAAACGTCTTTTAACTGTCTTTCCATATCCATTTAGTGTTACACTTGCTCAAGTTTTTCATGGATGGGCTTATTCGGTACCATTACTTCGTTTTATTGGTATACCACAATCAACTGATTTACATTCAAAACGTATTTATTATTTAATTATTCTACTTCCTTTATCAATAGGAAAATTTCTTTCACAATTAACTTCACAAATAAGTTTACGATTAGTAACAGTTTCATATACACATACAGTTAAAGCATTAATGCCTCTATTTACAGTTATATTATCGCGAATTATACTCAATGAAGAACAATCGATAATGGTTAGTCAAAGTAAAAGTTGAGATATGCTCATTATTGTTTGTCAAAGATTTAGTTTATGAGTAATAGAGAAGTCTTTCGATCCTGTTTTCTGATCTTTTGGCTTAGCTCATCGCTTAATCAAATCCAAAGAGAAAACAGCTTATTTTAGAAATTACAAAAGACGTAAGAAAGTATCTACATCTCTTTGATGTTTTAGAGTGAATTAGTTCAAATTTAAGGATTCTAAAAATCAAAACCAAGATTCTTACAGATCGGCATTTTTTAAATTGTTTTATTCAATACGCTTATTAATCAGAACTCTGGAAGCAGTCCTGAATCCTAAGCAATTCCATTTGTATCGTCTCACTGTACATATTGAAAATAGAATAGAATTTTTTGGGACGTGAAAAAAAGTTTGTCGAGTAGGACTTTATTATTAATAAATGGTTCTAACACAGTAATTTTTATATATTGTGTTCTTTTCTGATGCCTGTAAATTATCATATAACATTACTTGAAACATTCAAATGTAAAAAAAAAAAATTCTTCGATTACTCATTTTAGATTTATCTTTCACTAATACCTATTATCATCGGTGTTATTATAGCTTCTATAAGTGAATTATCATTTGATTTTGTTGGTTTAATCTGTGCATTACTCAGTACATGTTTACTTGCTCTACAAAATATTTATTCGAAAAAAACACTGAAATATATTAATATACATCATTTAGTACTTTTATCTGCTCTTTCGAAATTATCTTGGTGTCTTCTTATACCATTTTGGTTTTTAATTGATGGATCATATATTGATATTAGACGAGAAGTAAGATGATGAAAAAAAGTTTAACAATAATGTATTCTTAGTCTTTTCAATAATGTTAAGCATGCCTAAGAACTTTATATCTTACATTTTTTGGCAAAAACAAATATTCTTGTAATGTCTTAGTGATTCAAGTTTAACGAATTATGCACTTCTAAATATTTTTACATGACTCAATGTAGTTCGAGAAGCTCTACAAGAATATACAAAAAAAAAGAAAATCAGACAGACTAGTAGAAATCTCATATACGCTGTAAGAGAGATTTTTATCACAATTATTTGATCAAACACATTTACATTTACCATCATTCGATTAGAATATCTTGATATGACATATGATTTCAAGATCATTATTTGAATTTCAGCTTATTGTTAAACTTTTTTTTCCAGTAGCTTAAATTATAATTATCATAGAATATTTATTATAGTTAACACCAACAGTTATATATTTTATATTAATTGATGGTTTATGCAATTTTATTTATAATGTTCTTGCTTTTACAATGATTTCATATCTTTCACCACTGACATATGCTATAGCAGGAAGTACAAAGCGTATTATTGTTATTATTATATCTATTATTATTCTTCATAATCCTGTAACATATATGAATTTATTTGGTATTAGTTTAGCTTTAATTGGTGTTATTTTATACAATAAAGTAAAATATAATGAAAAGAAACAACAATTATTATCATTAAATACAATGTCAATGCAACCAATATTGCTAACATCATTACCATAAAAATCAACACAAAACAAAAAAAAAATTATATAAATCATTCTTGTTGTTGCCAACGATCATTCCATATAGGTCTTCGTGCTGATGACGAACGATGACCAGTTGATCCAGGACGAGAACGTACACTATTATTATTATTATTATTTAATGAATTTGTAGCAGATGATGGTCGACTTTGTGGACGTTGGGATCTTTCCGATATAGAAAAAGTAGATGATGTATTAATTGTAGTACTTGAAGATCGTTTAGGAAGATGAATATGTGGTTCAATTGAATATGTATTAAGAGCCATAAGATGATCATAATTAGATAATAGTTCATCTCGTTTTAAACTACGAGTTGGACGAATATTTTGAAGACGTTCTAAAATTTTCTACAAAATAAAAAAGAAACAACACATGATTTTTTTTTTTAATTTTATTTGAAATAAATTTACTAAATTTTCACGTTCAATTCTTTGTTGTTGTTGTTGACGATTGATTGCTGATGAAGTTAAACGAATTCGATGATGATTATGATGATTATGATTATGAATATATGGTTGTTGATAATAATTATCAGTTACAATTTGCATGTTTTTTTTATTGAATTGTTGTTGATCGGAATATGTAGGTGAAGGTAGACTACTTGTACGAGCTGATAAACCAAATAGAACATTTTTCATTGATTCAAGATGAAATGGATGTTGTTGGTGTTCTTTAATTGATGATACATCAGTAATATCATGTTCAGAAGTATATGAAGAATTAGAACTTTGAGTTTGTAGACGATAAATTGGTGGTTTTGAAGTTACTATCGGAATATCTGACATTAATAATGATGGTAATATTGTACTATCATTATTATCGTAAAAAGAATCTGATGGTTTTGTCAATGTTTCATTTGTTTGATCAATCATCTAAATAAAAAAAAAAAACAAACAAACTTTTTAATCATTCATTGTTGTATCAAGTAAAACATGTTAGATATGTGTTATATAAATAATTAATCAAAACAGTTATATACACACCTAAATTGTATTCGCCTTCAAATTTGTCTATTTCTATTCGTTCTGCCTGAATAATTCTTTTTTCTCCTATTCCTTGTATTTCATTATAAGTATATGTTCTCTGTCTCTGTCTTCTCGTTTTTTTTTCTCAATGTATGCGTGAAACAAACGATTAATTGATGTATTTACTTGTGTGAGAGAAAAGAGGTCATTTTAAAAAGAAATAGTTATGGGTATTGGCAATTCTCGAACATCATCTGGACATGGTAGTTCAAGTGGAAGAAGACGTGGATGTTTCTTTCGTCGAAATAAACCAAGTCCAACAACACAAATTAATTCATTTGGTACTGCACAACCGGTTTCTTATCAACGTATGTATGGTGTTCGTCCTAATACAAGACCAATACCTATTTATCCACCATTAGATCAACCATCACCATCATTTTTACCATTATCTTACAATCATTATCATGTTTCGTCATACGTCCCACCTCAACCTATGATGATACCACCACGAGTAGCAGCACCAATCATGCCTCCATCATATATGGTACCTGCTCCTCTCCCTCCACGTCTTCCTCCTCCTCCTCCTCTTCCTCTTCCTATTCCTCCAGTATCGATACCATACGTACAACAACCACAATTGCAACCTATTTATAATAATATACCAGCTCCAGTTTCTATGCCTATGGGTATTTCCGGAGGAGCTGTACTTAATCCTCCGTCATATCCAGGAGCACCTCCAAGACTTATTACAGATTGGACAGGTGGTGGTGCAATATCACCTGGTTTTCTTGGGCCTCCTATTTAATTAATGTAAAAGTCTTTTCTTTTTTTTTTGCTTTTATGTGCTTTTTTTAATAACATAATATGTATTACATTCATGTCTACTTAATAATTTCTTGATTTTTTTCTATTTGTTCGACGGTCTTCTCCTCCGACGCATATCGCCAACATCGTCGTCTTCATATCGAACATTAGCAAGATGTCTATGATATATATGCGACATTTTCATTATTTACGCCACATTACATGTACAACTAAACGAATGTAATAGTTTTCGTTTATGAATGGCGATTTTGTATATTGATAATTTGATATAACAGACGATGTCCAACATGAAATGGTGATTACTAATGAGGAGGAGAAGAGGGTAACCAAAGAAGAAAAAAAAAAAAAAAAAGAAGCAAATCTCAATATGTATGTCTATACGTTCGTCTTTTTTCTCTTGTCTAGATGAATATCTATTTGTGTTTATATGTTAATTATTAACATAAAATTAAAAGATGATATAATAGATTAAAATAATGAAATCAATAAATTGTATCGTATATGATTTCAAAAGTTGAAGTGTTTTTTTTTTTTATTTAATGTAAATTGAATCAAAAATAATGTTCTCTTTTTTTTTTATAGATTAGAGGAAAAGTATTAATTAATTTACTATTCAATAATAAAATTTTTTCTCTAAAAAAAAATATTTACCTTGAATTTTTTGAATATTTCGTATTAATATGAAAGATATTTTAATCTTTTAGACAAAAGAAAAAAAAAATTTCTACCATAATCAGATATAAGAATTGATTCTCAAGCAATGTCCTCCTCTTAAAACGTATATGCAAATCTTAGAAAACTGAGATATTTGATATATCAATAGATGTCACTAGATTATAGTAGATAAATCAATACATCAAAATTAATAGTCACCGATCAGCAATTATTATTCGGTATGTATAAGAAAATTTTGACTCATTTTGGTTTCGCTTGACTTGGTCTTTAAATGAAAACGAAAAGGTATATCTATTTATTCTTGTAACTTTATTATTATTCGTCTGTCTACGAAATAAAATATATAAACTCACTATGTCGCATAATCACCTTGATGAAGAAACTCAAGGTAACGGAATATTCAACAATGATCATACGAATCGTCATCGTAATTCAAATAATTTAAATTTAAAACCTATTGCTGTTATTGATCATATAAAAACAAAAGTTAGACGAAGACGAGCATCAAATAATATTTCAACAGAAATACTCGACTCTCCAAAGAATAATAATAATAATAATAAAAATATTAATGGAAATCGTAATATTAAACAAACCACTCAAGAACATCATAGATCAGAACCCAGATTAGCAGTTCGTTCTCAAATGATTGATTTATCACAAACATTACCCAATCGACATTTAGATAATATTTATGATAAGAAAAACAATTCCGAAAATAGTATGTCAATATAAATGATTAAATTAACTGTTAGAAAAAAAAATCAAATTTTCTTTTTAGATTTATTAATTGCAAAACATGGAAATCGTACAAATGTTTCTGATCATATAGATAAAGATGAAAATACAAATGAAACTGTTCAATCGGGAATAGATCAGATAGAAGTTGATATTGATAATAATCAAAATCAAACACGAGCAAAATCTCTTCCTGAACCACCAATTGAATTTAATACAAAAAAACGACATCGAACAGGACGATGCAAGGTAAAAATAGTATACAGTTAGAAAATAATATCTTTTTGCATATTCTATTGACTTTTGAAAACATATTTTATCATTTTGACTTTTTTTTTTTACCAAAAATGTTTTCTTACCAACTCTTTAGACAAATATTGAAAGGTTAGTTTTAGTATTGTTTTCTAAATTTACATCCCTTATCAATCAGTCATGAGATTAATTTTTAGGTGACTGTTAATAACTATTTAACCTCACATTTTCATACTGAAATGAAAGTCTTCGAAACAACAAACGATTGTTTTTTTTTCTTTTGTGATAGTTTTTGAAAGTTTAAATTAGATAGCTATTGATACGTTGATTTCCATCTACTAGATTCTAATGATATAGATAAATGTTGTAGTTAACAAGCATGAAAAATCATAGACTATGACACACGCAAAAATAATTAAAATAATCATTGGCGAACTAATGTTTAGAGTGTCTTCTATTTATTTGTATGTTTCATGGACATCATCTTCAATTATTATTTGGATAACAACTAAAGGATAACCTGAACGGGTAATAGTAGTAGTAGCATATTCCGAGATAGTTATGTTTAAATTATGATTGTTAGGACAAATAGATGAGGAAAAAAAAGCTTTTTTAAAATCCTATATATTTATTATTGGAAAATAGAAAATTTTGATGTATTTATTTATAGAATTTTCAGATTCGTGACGAAGAATTCAATAATATCTTTAATGATTTACCAGCAAATGAACAATTAATTGTTGGTATGTTTTTGTTAAATTTCTTAACCCTTTGAGTACCATGACTCAGCTAATGAATGAAATTTCTTTGAGAGTTTGTATTTAACATGGACAGTATGTATTGTTGATATTTTCATCAAAACTTTTTAAAAAAATCTTTAAAGTCATTTTTGGTCCATGCCCGTACTCCCCCACAGGGATGGTGAAGAAGTATTTTGGTCATCCCCGTAGGGGGGAGTACGGGTGTGGGTCGAAATTCGATTGAGAATTGTCGCCATATCAACCTTTGGAATATCACTACGAGCCACTCCTAACTTGGTTCCAACACGGATAATCGAAATATTTTGCGGACTACAAAAAGACATTATTCGCTCTCCTTATTTTTAGAATAGAAGAGGTGTTCCAAAGATTCGTCAGACTTACTACTTGAGTGACCTCATTAGGGTGGTAACTCTTATATAGATGTATGCATCGAAGTCTTTTCTATGTCATAGAGAAAACCGCTGTTCGATATCATTTCGCGTCGCGAGTTATTCAAGAACTAAAAGACTTGAAAAAAAATCGTACTTTATAAAGTACACTGGTACTTAAAGGGTTAATTGATCTCTTTTTATTATAAATTTTAGCTTATCCATGTGCTTGGCGAAAAGAAATTCTTATGCATGGACAAATGTTTCTTTCAGTTAATTATATATGTTTTTATACATGTTTTCTTAAATGGAAAGAAAGTGTACGTGGAAATATTTTTTTAAATAATTTTTTTCTTTTGTCTTTTATTTTCATTTTAAATTTTTATTTCTTAAGTTATGTATTGCTTATAAAGATATTGTAAATATTAAAAGAGAAAAATCAACTAAAGTACTTCCAAATGCAATTAAATTGCGTACAAAAAATCGTGAACAATATGTTTTTGCTAGTTATATACCACGAGAACGAATTTTTTTTATTGTATCTCGTCTATGGCAAAATTCTTTACTTGAACAAGTAAAATATTATGTTTGATTTTCATAAAATAATTAGACTTTTTTGTTTTCTTGTTGTTTTTCAATTATTTATAGCCATTAAATTATGAACAATTACGAACTAGTATTTTTACTGATCAATTTAATATTGATGAATCAAGTGAAGATAGTGAAGGATCTATAGAAGGAGAACATAATCATGAACATCCTGTAAAAGTAAGTTTACTGTTTTTTATATTCATAAGAAAAAAAAAAACAATTTTTGTTCTTTTATGAAGTCATTGAGTGCAAATCGCATCCTAATAGTTGAAAGTTTGCATTGAAATTCAAATTCTTAAATAGCATAGATAAACGATTACATGATAAATATCAAGAGTGATGTGTTGGTTTTCGACAAGCGCTCTTTAACTAATCCAAAAAAAAGAAAACAATAAACTGGTTAAGTTCTAACTTTCGAGAAATAATCATTGTTAGTATTTCTCAGTTTATCGAGCTAAATAATAACGCATTGAGATATATTGTAGAAATAATGAATGTATACCAAAGGTTTCTTAGTTAGTTAAATTAATTAAAAAGAATAATATTCATCGAAGAAAATAAATAACAAACGAAATTTGATTCAACAAACTTAAAACAACTCGTAGATATCAATTCGTCAAAAAATTAATAAAATTTTTAGTTTGAACTATGCATGTGATTTAGTAATTACCGAAACTAAATAATACCGAGTGAT